CAAACCATAATATCACATTAAAAAATTGTATCACATCAAAAAAAGGTATCACATGCAAACCATAATATCACATTAAAAAATTGTATCACATCAAAAAAAGGTATCACATGCAAACCATGATGTCACATTAAAAGACATTCTGTCACATCAAAAAAAGGTATCATAAAAACCATGATATCACATAAAAACCAGTGTGTCACATCAGAACCCACCCTGTCAAGACACGGGTCTGTAAAGCTGTGTCCCCATCTCCAGCTGTCCCACAAACACTGTGGGTGGTCCCTCAGGGATTCCTTTGGAATTCCTCTGGCGTGCCGGACAAACCATCGGCTCCGTAGGACGCGCGGAATTTTAGTTTGGATTTTCAGAACTTATAAATAACGTTTGCAGTAAATATACTGTCGATGGCAGTGTATAATTGACCCCGAGGCTCGATTAGAGCACTGGTTTGTGACTCCTGCCCCACTCCTCTCCGTTGTTTCAGTCAGAAATGTCTCCTGGTCAGAAGGTTTTTCCCTCAGTGGGAGCCCCCCCCATCCAGAGCCAGAACAACCCCTGGGGCACAAACAAACCTGCTTTTTGTTCCCGAGACTTGAAGGACCTCACCCCAAAAATGACTGAATTCTGTCTTGCAGTGGGTACCTGAAGAGGCTCAACGAGGATTACTCTGGGAAGTGGGTCAGTGTCCCTGGCTGTGGGAACGTCACTGGCACACGGTGCAACGTCTCCTCTGCCATCACCACCACCGGCTTCTACTACCTGCGTGTGCAGGCCAGGGGGGGACACAACAGGTCCTGTCTGTCCAGTGAAGTCAAAGTAGATCCTCTGAAAACAAGTAAGGAAACGTGTTTGCTGAAATTTTCCTTTCTCAACAACTGGCCCCCAGTGCCATTATTGACTCCCAGGAGGATGGAGAGGGGCTGGGGACAAGGGGTGGAGGGACAGGACACAGGGAATGGCTTCCCACTGCCAGAGGGCAGGGATGGATGGGATATTGGGAAGGAATTCCTGGCTGGGAGGGTGGGGAGGCCCTGGCCCAGGTTGCCCAGAGCAGCTGTGGCTGCCCCTGGATCCCTGGAAGTGCCATCCAGCCCAGACGGAAAAATAATTGAAATATTTGTCAGGACTTGAGATTCTGGGTAAAGGTGTGATCTTGGACTTTTAAATATGTGTTTCTTAAAAATTATCGTAGGTTTCCATGGCAGTATTTTCTGCAGTATTTTTAAAGTTGTGTTTTTAATCTTGTTTTCGTTTTTTCAGATGAAATTGGCCCTCCTGGGGTGAAGGTGGACATCAGTGATACTTTGCTCCACATCCAGATTTCTCCTCCGGGAGGGCCTGAGGGTGAAGTCATGAGGAACAATTATATCCTGTCCTACCGGATTCTGTACTGGAGGAATTCATCAAGTGATGAGGTTTGAACTGGTTGACAAATTTTCTGCACAGCCATAAGTGTTTATGACTTAAATCCCAAGTCTGAGTTCTCATCAAGAAGCTTCTTTTCAAGAGAGGCACAGATATGATGTATCAGTCTGAAAAAAAGACAACTTGTTGGGTTTTATTCTGAAAGATTCTTTTAAAGATCTGATCAAGATGATTTTATCACACAGTGGGTGAGATTTTAATCTCTTTCCATGGATGGGGCCGTGTTTAATGTAAGCTGGGATGTAAAAGCTCCATGTATCATAAAGCCATGAAGTCCTGTGTGCTTTTAGCTCACAGTTTAATGGGTCTTTCCATATTTAAATACTTCTTACAGTAAAATATTTTACAGTAATGGCTGGAAGGTGGAGGAAGAGAAGGAAACCAACTGCAGCAGGAAGGAGTTTCCTGTGGCACAAAACTCGGAGCTGTGAAGTTCCACAGTGGTGGAAGCAGTTGGTTCTTGCCAACGAGTGTTTCCTGATTTTTCCTTGGGAGATAATTGGGTGGTTCCTTTTATTTGAATTAATCTGAGTGCCCAGGGAGGTGCTGGAGTCACCAGTGTCCCAGAGGCACCTGGCTGTGGCCCCTGGGGACGTGGTTCAGGGGTGCTGGGTGACAGCGGGACTGGGTGAGCCTGAAGGTCTCTTCAGACCTTGATGGTTCTGGGGTTCTGTGGTTGCAAAGACATTTTGCAGAATGACTTCTGCATCAGAGGCCGTAATTCTCACCTGTCTGGGTGATTCTTGTGCTGCTCATGTGCACCTTATTCTCCCATTTTTGGCTGTTCAGGAGGAGGCCAAAGTGAAGGAGACAAAACAAACGGTAGCGACGATCCCCGACCTGGCACCCGAGACCTTGTACTGTGTCAAAGCCCAGGCCTTCTCAGAAGCTTACAACAAGAGCAGTGTTTACAGCCAGGAGGAGTGCATCCAAACCCCTGGAGGTAGGGGAACCTTGGGAATTGATCCACCTCTGCAGGTGGGATTGTTGACCCTTCCCGGGCCTTTGCAGCTCTCACGAGTTAAAAGCTCTGGGCAGGAAGAGCTCACACCTCGCTGGGCAGAGAGCTTGAATTCCCAGTGCCTGTAAGATGTTTTTAGGAATCACTAAATGCCCTGTTTCCAGGAATATTTTGTTCTTGGAATGTTCACAGTTCTCCTGTGACTGAATTCAGTTTTTAACAAATGCTGTGCTGCAGTGTGAGGAGACAAATCATCCGGCCCGTTGGAGCCCAGAGCTCACCTTGGTGCCAAGTGAGGCTGGATGGATTAACACTCCCTCAGAACAGAAGAGCAAGTTTTGTGGTGAAGATAATTGGCCAAATTAAATTTTATTAACACTAGAAAAATTGCTACATATCCAAACTTTTAAGAAAATGTAATAACAGTAATGCTCCTGCACATCATAAGCCTTTAGGATTCATTTGTATTGTGGTCCTGCTTTGTCTTTATCAAACCTTAAACAACCCAGATGTTACTTTTTTTACCTTCATTAGATAAATCCTTTAATCTATTTTGCTAGTTATTAGTCTTCCCATATCCTTCTATTTTAATGAGCTTATTTAAGCCCAAGCAGTACATTCAAGGCAGATCATGCCCTGCCTTTCCCACGTGTTCTTACATCCCAGCGTGGAAATCTTTCAATCTTTGGTCACAAAAAGAGACCTGATTGTCTATAATTCAGGTTATTTGTAGAGTGTCTCCTGGTATCTGTTAATTTTAGTATGTTCAGATGTGCTTCAGTTTATTACAGACAGGCAGAGAATCACAGAATGGTTTGGGTTGGAAGGACCTTAAAGCCCATCCAACCTTGATTGTTCTGTGTTCTTGTATTTGATAATTTTTTTCAGTAAAATTCTCTAAGGCATTGGAATGGCATCAGTTTTCCATGATCACCATGGCTGGTGCAGCACTGTAGAAATGCAGAATTATTGTGATAATCCTGCAGCAGGTTTGGAGCTGATCTGTTCTTTAACCCTTGGTGCTTACGAATACCTGGGCTGAATGGTTTTTATTCCTCTTTTTAGCAAAAGCTTTCCCTCTGATCATTTTAGCCACGTTCATGGCTGCCCTGTTTGCTGTCCTGCTCGTGGCCCTGCCCCTGGTGTTTGTGCTCTACCAAGCCTACAGCAAGATCAAGTACGTGTTCTTCCCGTCCTGCCAACCTCCTCTGAACATCGAGGTGAGCTGACACTCCTCTTTCGTGGAACAGATTATTCTGGGGAAAATGAACCAGAAATGTTGTGGACAGATGGTTCTCTGTTATCCTGGTCTTATGGGAACACCTGGGATCTTATGGGAACACCAGGATTAACTGTAGAGGTTTTGGCAATGGTTCTCCACAAAGGCAGGGCTTGTCTCCAGTTTCCACCTCCAGTTTCCAGATTTTCCTTCAGTTCTTGTGTGGCCTCCTGAGGCTCAGATCCATGAAATATTGCAATTCTGTAGGTGATTGGCAACTGTGAGCATAGCAAGTGAGATATGGTTAATGTTTGAGTTGTTTAGTGTTTGATTGTATGAATGGGATGGTGAGGTGGGGGTCGGGCTCTGCTCCTGGGGAACAAGGGACAGGAGGAGAGGGAACGGCCTCAGGCTGTGCCAGGGAAGGGTCAGCTTGGACAGGAGGGGGAATTTCCTGCTGGAAAGGGTGGTGAGGCCTTGGCAGGGGCTGCCCAGGGAGGTTTG